TTAAGTGGAGAGCAAATGTTTTGAGAATGATGAGGGCAACGAATGTACAAATGTGCTTTACACAATTGATGTATGTATGGATTGTGATGAGTTGTACGAGCCCCTAATAAAACGATTTTTTAAAATTTCAATTAGTATTCCATCATTAGTTAATAGCGAGGCTCCAGGAAATGATGGAATACCAATTGAAATGTTTCAACAAGCAGGTGAAGCACTGGTTCTTGTTCATAAGCTACCTCTTGAAATGGTTAAAACTAGTCCTTTTTGGTACAGAGACTTTGTGTATGCTTTCCATCTTCTTTGATGCTTCCTGTGTTGTTCAATATTTTGCCCATTGGATCTTTCAATTTTGCATCTCAAGGCTTGAATTTTTTATAAGTTCTTTCAGTTTAAGATGTACTGTTACTGAATTTGGATGTCTCATACTGCACATCTCTCTTAACTCTTCCCCATAAAATGTGGGTAAATCCCCATTATCTCTCTTCTGGATTTTGGCTCCAGAGATTGTATGATTCTATTAAAGAATACTCAGAGTGAAAAGAGGCACATCTTATTTGAACCCTTAATAGCTGTGTGACCTAATTTTTCAGAACTTCTTTGGATCTCTCCATAAATTGAGGATGATAAGTACAGGGGATTAAAACCAGTGATCTCCTAAAGTCTGAGGTAGCTCTTTGGCCTATAAAATACCTTCCGTGGGGTTTTTCCCAGAATTACAAGTGATCCCAAAGATTACTAGGTGGTGTTATTCATTACTATATCTTCCTGTTACTCTGGTAGCCAACAATAAGAAGAGCTAAACACTACAGAAGACAGACTTGTATTCACACAGCATTCCAACTTTAATTCTTCTTCCTGTCATTCCCCCTGCTAAATCCTGAGAAAAAAGTATCTACAGAAACTTTGCAGTTCAATTCATCGTAAAAATAATTAGCTTTGTCTTTATTGATCAAGGAAATGAATTTGAATTTCACTCACTCTTCTGACCAGGAACAAAACTCTTTTATAGTACCAGGAAAATCTGCTGAGTGAGATGCTGCCACAAAATCTCAGACAGACAGCTCACAATAGTCTCACTGTCCTTGCAACAAAATCTTAAGCTGCCTACAGTAACTCCATTCATATCTTCTTGACATGCTTTTAAAGGGAAGAAAAGTAAGCAAGGGAAATCACATGCTCTGAATTCTCATCGTGGTCAAAACTGCATTTAGGAGCTGGAAGGAATAATGTGGCAGCATTTTGCATTTAATTAAGTGGATTCTTGTCCAATACCTGGGGAACCTGTGTAAATAGCCCTAATTTCAGAATAAGGAAACTGAGGGTCGGAGAAGTTACATAACATACCCACCGTAGGAAGTTAAGGAGCACAGTCCTCAGCCAAGGTCTGACTAAATCCAGGGCTCCTGCTCCATGCACTATCCCACTAACTCAGGAGATAATCTGGAGATGGGTAGACTTCATGGCTCCTTCTCAGAATAATGGACAGTGTATGTTTAGAAAGTATCCTATGGTTTCAGTGATACCTCTTCTTAATTCTCCAGTTCTTTGAGGGAATGGATACCCTTTTTAATGTGACTTCCCACCAAATCTACTCTCGGGTTTTGGACAGGTAGTAAGATAAAAGTAAAGGGTCTTCTCACAAATGCAGAGTATTGCAGAATAAAGAACGTGGACTATTGAATAATGACTGGCTGGTTGGGCAAGCAGACAATGTGGTTTGGAGTCAACCACCAATGTCACAAAGCAGAGTTGCCTACATTTCCTCAGCACTGACCCAACTGAGTTAGGAAACAGTAGAGACCTTAACTCAAGATGTAAAAAGCATATCACTGGGCTTGAGAAGACCCATGTTCTACTATCAGATAAGCCTTCAGGAACCAAGCTTTCTTTAGAAGCACCTTCTCTGGGCCTTGCTTTCAAAAACAGGGAATGATTTTAAACATGGGTCTTCCAGGCAGAATCGATACTCTTTCAACAAGGTTGAAGTTGCACCAACTGAAATACTCCCATGATAGGTGGAAAAGGAGTAGTGCCAGGTATTACTAATGTTCCAGATCCTATTCCTGTATTATTTCATTAATATAGCCACTGGATTGCTCTATGTCTGTGCCACATCCATTGCTAACTATTTTCATATCACCCCTGCTCTTCGCGTTAATATTGTCTTTGTGTATGTTTCTTATTGCTTTCTACCACAGAGGTATATGAACAAAATCAACTCCAGGATCTAAGCTCCCTGTTAAACACACTGGTCCATTCACATTATACCAATGGAGTCCAAGCTGCCAGTGCTCTGCTGTCCCTGAGACTGGTTGGAATCCAGAGGCAACAACTACAGCAAAAGCTGACCCAGGAAGTCATTGAAGATGTGCGAAGCAAAGGTGAATGTCTATCTGCTCCCTCTCTCTAAAAGTGCGCACTTTAAGAAAAGATCCACCTAACGAATTAAAACCTTTTCTCCAGCAAATCCTAGAAACCATGTGACCAAATCTCACACACACGGTCTAGGAAGACAAAAGGGCAGTAAAAGCATCAGCACATGCCTTGCCAAACACAAAGTATTTTCTTTTCAGGGCCAGATTTGAGTTCTGGACAACTTGCCTGGACTATAATGGCTTTGGGAGCATGTCGTAATCCTGATGAAAGTTTTATACGTGATTTTCATCTGGTTCAGCATCTAGAAGAGAAATTCCAAGAAGAAATTAGAAATATGGGTAAGAATCAAATCTTCAGATGTATTAGACTTCTCATCCACTGATTATTAACAGAGACTGGTCCCTGGGGGTGGGAAATATGTGTTCTGATCCTAGATCCCGAACTATCTGAATTTGGGGGTAATATTTTAATTGCTCTTGTGTTTGGTATCATCAGTTGAAAAGTGAAGAGAATTGAGTTGAATCGGTTGGTCCTTGACAGCCTTTAAGTATCTCAGGACCGCTGATTCTGTAAGTGCTGTCCCCCCACTCTATTAATCCCCTGACTTTGAAAGCAGACATATAGGAATAAACTAAATAAAAATTCATTGAAAGTGTATTACTCCAGTACCATCTCCACAAGTAAGGTTTTTCTCCTCTCTCTGCCAGAAACACACAACGGCAATCCACTCACTAACTACTACCAGCTCAGCCAGGATGTTTTGGCCTTGTGTCTGTTCAGTGGGAACTACTTAACTACTGAAATTGCTCATTTCTTCACTCCTGAAAACAAGAACTACTACTTTGGTGGCCAGTTCTCCGTAGGTGAGTCATGAAGCACAATGTCCTTGATTCAAAGGATATAGTCACCAATAGGTCTTGGCCTTTTAGGTTTCCTCCCACTAAGTAACTGAATTTTTTTTTTCTTTCCTCTTTACCCTTAGTTCCCCAGCAGAGAATTTTCTTCTTGAGCAGAATGAGTTTGGAGTGGGATTTAAGCCTCTTTCTGGTTCCTACTCTTGCTGCTCTTAATTATATAACAAATACATGCTAATTCTTGAATCTAATTTTCCCAACTGTAAAATGGTAATGTATAGGGAAAATCTTCATGTAAATAATTTTGGAAGTATAAGTGTTAAAGACAAGAAATAGAGATTAATTTTTTTACCTAAACCCTGGTGCTTTCTCTAATTTACTGGGACTATTTGAATATGTGGGTTAACTGGACTAGCACAACCTTTCCATTGACATGATTCAATATTTTGCGCAACAAAATATATATTCACAAAAGATAAGGTCTAGAAATTTTCCATTGCATGAGATTACACATCAAGATGGAAAAGCTCCTTCAGGACAAGTAGTACTGATGATCAACCCCTATGGATCCAGTAAGCTAGTCCTACCTTTCTTTCAGGAAACTCAAAGCTAAGCAGCATACGGTGCAAAGGAACAAACTTAAAAGATTTGGGGGTTCACATTGGTGAGGAGATTGCTCAGTCTTGAAATGCTTCCCTCCCATCAGCAACAGCATGAACAACTGTCCCCATTTATTCAAATCCAGCCCCATTTTAGCACTGAAAGTACCACATTCAGGAAAAAAAGGGAATTCTTGGTCAACCATCACCAACTTTTTGTATCTTGACAGATACTGGTGCAATGGCTGTCTTAGCTCTAACCTGTGTGAAGAGGAGTATAATAAACCAGCAGATCAAAACAGATCAAAGTGTGACCCAGAGTATTGACAGTCATATAGGGATACTGGTTAAAAAAATTCTGTCTGAGAAAAAAAACAACGATCTTCTTGGAAATATATATAGTACAGGAGAAGCCGTACAGGTAAGTCCAAGGGTTAAAGAGACCCACAGAGAAAAGCCACGGAAGGAAACAATATCATCAGCATTTTTATGGCCTTCTCTGGATGCTATTGGCCATTTTGTTTCCTATATTAACTTTCACTACTTCCTCCACATTTGGGGGCTTATGTAATTCCTCTCCCCTGCCCCTTCTCAGCTGCAGCCTTTACATCTTTACACTTATGCTTCTATGAGGTTTTCCTG